CGCCTGTGCATTTTTATGGTTTTCGTAAAGTCTGATACCTGCTTGACAATTTGCCTGCAGCTTCATGTCTTACAAGATGACATACTTTTGCGCTGTGGCAATTGGATTTTTGCTTTTACTCCTCAAGAGGGTTTTGCTTACTCTTGCTTGGTAGTCAGTAGTGATGGACGCAGCGGCCACTCGTAGAGTGAACATAGCATTTCAATGCTTTCTCGACCACCTTGAAGCCGAGCGCTCGAGTAGCTCTGGGGGAGATGAGCGTAGTGATTCAGAAGTCGCATCTCTGGATTTGGCGCGAGCTTCAAAGTCTCGTAGTCGCTCACCTCTTCCACGCTTCAGACACAGTGGTTGCAGTCAAAGAGAGTTGGTCACTATGATGGAGCAGAAGATCAGTGAAGTCCGTGGTGACTTTCTTCAACAGCTTAACCTGTTTCGGCAAGAAATGGTGGCTCAGTTCAAGGAGTTTTGTGCTCAAAGCAAGGCAGAAGTTCATGATTCCAAGGGTAACTTACAAGATCCCCCGGATGAAGCTCCAATGAGCCTCTGTGTTTCCGCTACTGGGGTCTCGCAAGGAGTGAAGACCAGCTTGGGAATGGATTTGTCTAAGGCCAGGGTTGCTGATAAGGACAAGCTCAAGGAGATCTTTGCTGCCTGGGAAACTCGTTTGAAGAACTGCAGAGGGGATTTGCGTACGTCTCTGTCGGTCTTGTTCCAAGGCGTAGGCACGGCTGAAGAGCTCCACTCAATTGTGACTGCGATGGGCGTTCATGTCTTGACGGTTGAAGATCAAGGCCAAGTGCATTCCGCACCATTCGCTCATGTCGCAGGTGACCGTGCTCAGCCGGCCCTTCAAGTAGTTTGGAAACTGCTCCCTGAACAGCGTATGACCATCCAGCTCAATCCCAAGAAGAACACCGTGACAGTTAAGGCTAAGAGGGCCGCTATCCAAGCGAACATTTGTCCTTTGTTATGTTTCTTCGGCCCTGTCTTAGACGTTTCAAGTAGCGTAGGGTCCAAGGTCAACCAACAGCCTACGACCTTCAAGGGGTCGCACGCAAAGTCGGGCATTGAGGCCTTCCTTGGGTGGAAGTAAGCAGGTGAGACGTCCCGTGTCAAATTCATGCACAGCGCCGTGGTCTGACCCATCTTTTGTCAAATTTCATGCACAGTGCCGTGGTTTGACCCACGTTTCCGGATGCAAGTTACAGGCAGACAAAGGGTGAACAGTCTTTGTTGTTGTTGTTGTTGTTGTTTTTTTTTTTTTTGTGTGTGTGTGTGTGTGTGTGTTTTTTTTTTGCGTGTGTGGTGTTTGTGTGTGGGTGCGTGCGTGCGGGCGTGCGGGCGTGCGGGCGGCGGGCGTGCGTGCGTGCGTGGGCGTGTGTGTGTGTGTGTGTGTGTGTGTGTGGTGTGGTGGTGTGTGTTGCGCGGTTGTGTGGTGTGTGTGTGGTGTGGTGTGCGGTGTGGTGTTGTGTGTGTGTTGTTGTGTTGTGCGTGTGCGGTGCGGTTGTTGTGTGGGTTGTGGTGTGGGGGGTGTGGGGTGTGTGTGTGTGTGTTGTGGTGTGCGTGTGCGTTGGGTGTGTGTGGGTGTGCGTGTGGGTGTGCGTGTGGGTGTGCGTGTGGGTGTGCGTGTGTGTGTGTGTGTGTGCGTGTGTGTGTGTGTGTGTGTGTCTGTGTGTGTCTGTGTGTGTCTGTGTGTGTGTGGGTGTGTCTGTGTGTGTGTGTGTCTTTGTGTGTCTCTGTGTGTGTGTGTTTTTGTTGCAGGCCGCGGGTGTTCGTTTTTTTTGCTGGGTGTGCATGCTCGCGCCGATTGGTTCCGCAGCTCTTGTTATGTGGAAGCATCGTTGTATTGCATCACAGCTTCTTGGCTTCATTTGCTTTCGGTTGTGTTGCTGATGTCATGAACGTGGCGGCTGATTTAAACCTGGCATCCTTACAAGATGCTTTGACTGACTGGCTCGGTATGGAAGTGCTCCCTTTGGAGCGAGGTGCTTTTTTCAGAGATGTTGAGTTGTTGTGGGATCTTGCGCCGGCAGTGCCAGCACGTGTCGCAGCTCGTGGTGCCGAGACAGTCATCTCACATCAGCATGTGCTGAAAAAGTGGTTGAAGGACCAGGTGCTTAGTTTGCAACAGCGCTTCAATCCTCAAGTGATATCACCTTATTCAGGCGCCTTACCTCAGTCCTTATTCAGGAGTGGCAGGATGACATCTGGGAATTTAAGTTGTCAACTTAAATTGGCAACTTTCAATCCCGGGAGGCTTGGATTTTCCAATTTGGGCAATGGAGAGTTGCTCATGTGGCGTCTGCAAGCAGTAGCAGCAGAATTACGCGCCAGACAAATCAAGTGCTGCATCTTGCCCGGCGCCCGCCTCCCTCCAGGTTCTTCGTTGCCAGGGGACTTCCCATTCACTTATTTGGGACTGCGCTCCTCCTTGTGGGGCTCCGTGGGAGTATTTGTGGATTGCGATTTTGAATCTTCTGTTATGCCACTAGAGGAGTTC